CCTCCAGAGCAGAGCCTGAGAGGGGCCCTCCCCAGGGGGTGTCAGGGGCTGCAGGGAGGGGGCAGAGGCTGGAGCAGGCTCTGCTCGGGGGGCCCAGCAATGGCCCAGGAGGAACGGGCAGGAACTGATGCCCAGGAAGTTCCCCCTGGACAGGAGGAAGAACTTCTTTGCTGGGCAGTGACCCAGCCCTGAACAGGCTGCCCAGGGCGGGGGTGGAGTGTCCTCCCTGGGGATATTCCAGAGCCCTCTGGACACAATCCTGTGCCTTGTGCTCTGGGATGGCCCTGCTGGAGCAGGGAGGTGGGACCAGTGACCCACCATGGTCCCTTCCAGCCTGACCCATTCTGGGATTGAAGGAGGAAGCTTAGGCCCTCTGCCTCCTGCCCTGCCTCCGAAACAACAAGTACAACAAGAGTAGCAGAAGAAATATAGTCACGATGTAGATTAGATCCTATTTTTGTGAAACATGAAAGGAAATTTTTCGTAGTGTGTATGTTGTATTTATGGAGACAAGGTTTTCAACACAGACAGCAAATCACCTCAGAAGTTAAAGTAGGATATCTGTGGGCTGTTAAAACACAGCTTTTAAATATCTTTTCCCTATGGTTGGTAAGTGGTTAATCCAGGGGGCTTTAAAAAGAAAGAAACCTCAAACTAGTTTTCCAACAATCTTTTACAAATTTCTAGAAACTTTTGTTCAAAATTGTCTTCCAGAGTTTGTATTTAGTCATTTACCTACCTGTTAGTGACTGTCAGGGCTGTGCAAATCACACATGTAAATATGGCTTGTTCTGTCTGTAATTCTATCAACATTTTTGTGTAGAGCATTAATACAAGTAATTTGCTGCACAAGAACGAGCATTTGTTGTACTTTATTTTCTCTTTGATTTAGAAATAAATCAATCAGAAATGCTGCTATCCATATACTGTTAACAAGGAGAATAAAGTTCAAAATTTTAATTACCATAATCATGTTAAGTTTGCATTTGGACTCAAAGGAGACAAAATAGAAGAAAACGATAGTGGAATTTCATCTGATCTTCTTTTAGGACCAGGTGAAAAAAATCAGTGTAAGGAAGACATAGGGAGGAAATGGAAAGTGTTAAAAAATAAATGGAGGCATTTCATCTGGTGGTGAATATACTACAACCAAAAAACATGATCCAATGGAGATGAAAAATATGACATTGGAAAGAGAGGTCTATATGTGTAAAATGTCTGGACCAAAGGTAAAGTAGAAATATTAAGGAGTAAAGTCAGCTAGGTGTAAAAACACCTGATAAAAAATATAAAGCTGGACAATAAAAAGAACAGTGCTGGAGGTTAAGATAAATAAAATAAGTTGAAGTACCAAAAAGGAGAAGGTGATGTTGAAGAAGACTGTAAGACACTTTAAAAATAGTTTGGAAGCACCTTTCATATGAAATATGTCCAGTAAAAATAATACATCAAACCTATATATACAGCTTAAAACTCAAGCCTGAACTTGAAACTGAACATGTGCAAATACGAGAATTCCTATTTTGCTTTACAAGTGCCTGAGTTCTCCCAGCTGCCAAGGGAGCTGGTGCGAGATATTTTCAAATAAACTTTTACAGCTGTTTATTCCACCCATTCAGCAGGATGACACTCCCAAGAAGAACTGGAATGCAGCAGGAATGATGAAGGTGATGCCGTTTGGAAGTCGTTTGTTTGCCTCATCATTTGCAGTGAATGATTAAAATCAGGCATAAGACGCTGTAACTGCTGAGTCAATTAAGATTTAATCAGGTCCTTTTTTGTGGAACAGTTTGTAGTGGTTAATGGGGGGTTCCACCTTTCATCTGACTGTGTTTTAATGTTCAACTTTAGGTGAAAAACTTCAGTTTTGCTCTGAAATGGATTAGAGTTGCTTGTACATGCAGCCACTGTGTGGAAACCAATGCAGTAGACATAATTAAGATACAAAATACATGAGGATAGATAAATAGATAGAGTGAAGTTAGGATAGCCACAAAGAGGTCAGCTTCATACAGAAAGTATTCCCTTTTTTCTCACCGTTTTGCAAATTCCATCATTTTAGCAACATGTTAAAAAGTATCTGGAAAATTAATCACAAAAGTGTAATTGCTTACATTTCTTTTTTATTGGTTTCAATAATACAGGGCAAAATATAGCAACAAATCAATGTTATAAATAGCCATAGGAATAGGAATTTTTTTTCCCAAAGGTACCATGCACTCAGTAAGACTGATGGTGATAAAAGAGAGGGTGATAAAAGAGAGAACAGAAATTTCAGTGGAATATTTGTATGGGGGCAGAGAGAGATATATAATAGTTTATATCATATAGTATCATTTATGCTCCATTTTTTGTTGAAATGCATCATTTACTGCTTTTATTTTCCCACAAAACATTGATGTAATCCAGGTTGGCACAATTTTTCCACCTTTTTTTCAAGTTTTCTGTTTGAATTGTTTAATAAAAGAGAAGAAAAGCTATGAGGGAGGATAATAATTGATAATATTTTGCAGTAATGAGATAAAACGTTTGTGTTTTTTCCAGGCTGCACAGAAAGCATGTCAAAAATACCATTTCTGGGGAAAAAAAAGGCACTTTTTGTTAATTAAAATTTTGCATAACTTTAAGTGTTAAATAATTTTTAATGGCTTAAATAGAATAGTACCAGGAAGAGTTGGTAAATTGCAAAGATTCCCCATTTATGACTGTGAATAAAAATATTGCATTAATATTGTTTTTAAGATAGGTAAGGAAGGGTTGTTTGTTTATTTTAAACAAAGCATTTGGCATCAGATTTATCACTGTAAGATGCATGACCTTAAAAGTAAATTAAAGGTAGCTTCCATTTAAATGTAGAGATTTAAGGAAGGTTTTGAGTGTCCTCGGTTCTAATTGCTCCAGTTATTTTTTATTAATGACATTTCACTAGCTGGCACTGAATACAGCTTTTCCTTAGATCCAGCAGTTTCATCCTAGTTCATTTCCTGCCTCTGAAACATTTCGGGATACTACTCTGTTTAGATTCCCCTAAAATTTATAGCTCAGAATAACAACAGCATTCTATTGAGAGAAATTGGTTTATGTCTTTAAGGGAGACAGAAGAATGTCTTCCCAGACACCTATCCCAAACTCCTCTCACCTATTCTCTCCATGAACACAAATTTGAAATTCCACTAGCTATCCCAGCAGGATGCCTGGGAGATCTATGTACAATACCCACTCGCTTTGGTGGTTTCCTTTTCACCTTTCCTTTCTTATTTTCTGCTTCTTCAATCTCACTATCACAGAACAATGCTCTGACTTCTCCTCTGAGCTTTCCATTATATTTTAGGAGCCAAATTAGTTGGTATAAATTGTGGGTGAAAGTGTGAGAAGATTGGATACAGTTCTCTGTTACTTTGCATGGGATTTGCTGTGTCACTCAGCAGAGTCTACATATGGTATATTTTATAAATATACACTATATAAAATATAAATATGTATTATAATATATCATATATTTATTTATATATTTTATTTACTATTCAAACTTCAGTAAATTTACAGCTGGTGGGAAAGGTCTTTACCCAGAGCTTGGCTCACTCTTGTACAGTAATATGGACTGGATAAGAAGTTTGTCTCTGGAGGTGTCCAAGGAAGGAGTGGACGTGGCTCTCAGTGCTCTGGGCTGTGGGACAAGGTGGGGATCAGGCACAGGTTGGACCCGATGGGCTAGGAGGTCTTTTCCAACCTTAATGATTCTGTGATTCAGCAGATCCAGGGATTTGGTTTGTGCCCATGTTACTGTCTCTTCTTTTGCTCTACAATACCAAATATAAGACAGAGAACCTTAGTGAGCTAAATCAATGAAAGCACATTTAAGAGTAAAATCTCTTGAGTTAAAAATATTTATTAATACTCAACAAAAGTATAATGCTCATAATTTGCAAAGCAGAGTAAAGTAGTCAATTTATTTAATTCTCTCTACTTCTCCCTGATGATAAGATTTCTCTGACAAGGGACTTCTGATGTAGGTAGGTGCTTGAAATTTAGAGTAGCAGCTATATCAACAGCTGTGAACTTCATTGCTGTCACTATAAACAAAGGAACTTGTCCCGTTCTTCCCCAAAATACAGCTGCTGCAATCAGGAAGAAATATCTGGAAATGTTTTCAAACAATGAGGACAGAAGTTGGTTATTCACGTTTCTCAGTGCCAAATTTTTAGGTTTCTCTTCTCTTCTTTAGTAAAGAAGAATTGATCTTTGGATTTGGGAGATAGACCTTCCACAAACTCCAATTGCAAAGATCAAGGAATAAATGGAGGGAGGAAAGCACCCTCTGTTTGCTATCAGTCTGTCCTAACTGAAGCGGGCTTGGCAGTTTCAGTTAAACTGCATCTGCCAATGTCACATCTGTCCAGTGAAAGAAGGAGTTCAACCATCTCACTTGGACACATTTCATTAGCAAAGAAGTCAAAACCTTGTTTACATAGAAATCTGTATGAATTATGATATTGGATTGAGCACAGGAATTTTTATACATATATATGTATTACTGAGGGACTGAAGTGAATCTCAAATTCAAGCTCAGAGGAAAAGCAAAAGTATAACTTTATGCTATAATTAAGGTCCTAATAAAAAACAGACATATTGTTCTGGTATGCACTAGTAGCCTGTTTTGCTTTGAAATCAAATTAATTGTTCTGTGCTGTCCCTGTTATGTGATCACTAGATACTTGGGTTTGTTTTGATTACCACTCTGAAGGTAATTAAAAGATAATCACCATGTCACAAACACAAGTGCCCAATCCAGCCAAGTGAGAAGGAGAGGAACATGCTGAATGACATCTTTATCCTTTTAAATTAGCACCTTCCAGAGTCCCGCTGTCACCCCAAAATATATTCTGGACTCCATATGTTCTTTGGGCTTCTTAATGCAGTGAGTGGAATTGGGTATCAGGTGTAGAAAAGCAGTAGAGTTCCAGTTCCCTGCAGCTTTGAGCTGCTCTGCTCAGGTGAGACCCCCCTGCAGAGCTGCTCCAGCCCTGGGGAACAGCACAGCAAGGACATGGAGCTGCTGGAGAGAGTCCAGAGGAGGCACCAAGAGGATCAGAGGGATGGAGCAGCTCTGCTGGGAGGAAAGGCTGGGAGAGTTGGGATTGTTCAGCCTGGAGAAGAGAAGCTTTGGGGTGACCTGACTGTGGCCTTGCAGGATCTGAAGGGGCTCCAGGAAAGATGGAGAGAGACTATTGACAAGGGCTGGAGTGACAGGACAGGGGGAATGGCTTCAAACTGCCAGAGGGCAGGGTTAGATGGGATATGGGGAAGGAATTCTTGCTGTGGGGGTGGGGAGGCCCTGGCCCAGGTTTCCCAGAGAAGCTGTGGCTGCCCCTGGATCCCTGGAAGTGCCCAAGGCCAGGTTGGAGGGGTCTTGGAGCAACCTGGGCTAGTGGAAGGTGTCCCTGCCCATGGCAGGGGGTGGAATGAGATGGGCTTTAAGGTCCCTTCCAACCCAAACCATTCTATGATTTCATTTGTGTTGGGTAAGTGTCACAGTGTGGCTGTAATATTTGCAAGCTAATGAGTCAGCTGTACATGTCCAAAACAGCTACTCTGGAGAGTGTTAATAAGTGGAAAGGATAATAGTGAAAAAAAAAAGTAAACAGCTGAGTAATTCTCTGTCCTTTTTGTCTCACAGGTGGGATGAGGTCAAGTTTTCCTTCTTAGGAAGTATTGCAGAACAACACCGTGTACAGCAAATAAATGCATGGAACAGGCACCTGCGGCTGACAGCAGTTAAACAGCTGCAAACAGACAGCTCCAGCTCTCCGTGCATCCCTATCAGCTCCTTCCCTGCAGCGCCATTCCTCCCAAGTCCCCTGTTACGTCATTAGTTAATCCACTCGCAGTGTGTCACTGCAGCTCAGGCTATAACATCTTTGGGGAATGGGCAGTTGTTCGAGCATATGCTGTCCATTGAAAGTCCTTTACAGGTGACTGAAATATAAGCACCAAGATGCCCAGATTGCTCTCATATGACAAGCTTAATTTGGTGATCTGAAGGAAACAATGGAATCACCATATAAAATACAACTGCATAAATCAGTAATATACTGTAAGGAATTATTCTAAATGGACTGGGAAGTTGTAGGTAAATATTTTTATACTGTAGGGCATTATCCTGAATGGACTGGGAAATTGTAGGTGAATATTTTTTTCCCTTTTGTATGAAGGACATTGTCTCTGTAAGAGTTAAAGAGCAAAAGATTAAATAATCATGGAACATTAAGTAAAGACTGAAATAGGAATGTCACCAATGTTTTAAATTACTTCTACCTCAGACTGAAATGATCATTCATTCAACATTGTTTAACACCAAAATTATTAGGAGTAAATAGTAAATCTTTCAAAAAAAGTTTTTTAAATATATCTGAAGGTTGGGAGGCAACCAGGTGCCTGAGTTTCCCTGTTGAAATGAGTTTATTGAATTTATTCCTGCTGTAATATTGATAATGTTGCATCCCAGCTATCTTTGTGTGCTTGTAAATATGCAGGGGATCACAAAGCTTATTATGTTTGTTCACTTGAAAAATATGACATGCTTTAACTTAACTCTCAATAGATAAGATTTAATGAAGGAATTACATTCCTTTTTTCCTCCTGGACCACTGTTTGTGCTACTGATATCCCCTGCTACGTGTATTCTTTCTGTTCTTGTACCTCGTTAAACAGATAGAGAAAATCCCATGGGATTTTAATATGTATTTAAAGCACTTTAAAAACTCGTGTGTTTACATGCTGTCCGTCCAGCTTTCTTATGCTTGTCTTCATGGTCAGTGCAAATGACCTCCTGAAAACAGTTGAGATAGTTTGTTACTCCCTGCCTCAGTAAAAATAATAGAATATTTCAACTCTTTGGTAATAATTGTTTACCCTCGCCAATTAAATTCCTAAGGCATTCTAGAGAAAATAGAAAATCTGCTTTCCGATGCATTTAGTCCCCATCACATCCCCAGAAGTAATAGGCCCTAATATTAGTGGTGGTTCTGTTCCATGTGAGAAGAATGCTGTTACAGGGATAATGTGCTCCACAGAAATATTTAATTCATATTTCATTGTTCCTGTCTGGTTCATTCCCAAACAGATCTTTCAGCAAGAGAACCATACCAGCACAACTTTCCTAAAATGGACTAAAATACACATCTGAAATACTCCTGCCAGACCAAGGTTGTTGTTGCTCCACTGACCAACCCCATTAAACAAAAGATAAAATCCTCCCTCCTGGACCTCACACTCCCTGTTTCTGCTTGCAGAAGTGTGAGTCCCAAAGTGAGAGTCAAGAGGCTGTTATTCCAGCACTGAACTGTGGAGTGTTACCCATCTTCCACTCCCACACCAGTGATCACCAGCCATGCTGGGGAAGCTGAGGGAGCTGCAAAAACTGCAAGCAGCAATTTGATTTCATTTGAAATATCACAACCTGGCAGAGCTGCTTTGCTAATTAGTGATCCATAACTTTGTTGTGCTGGCAGGTTCATGAGGTGCCAGCATTGGAGGATTCACTTTAGGAAATACTTCATTGGAAAAATTGAATTTGGAAACAGGCTATTATGGCTAAATAATGGGTAAATACTTGCTCCTATTTGCTCAAATATATTAATGTGTAATCTGGGTTTAATTAATTCATGTTGGAAAATTGATAAATGGCTTCTTAGTTCCCTTTATATACCTGTAACTTAGAGAGTGTAAAATTTTGTCCTTTATGAACTCTAGATATGGTTTATTGTAGTGACTTTTCATGTTATTTCAATGGAACTAAGATTTATACTCCAGTAACTTTGCCCCACTGCAGCATTTAATTAAACAGAACTGTTGTGGAGTTATGTGCGTTGTCTATATGAACATAAACTAATTCCAAAGTTATTGGCTTATGAATGCATTTTCTTGTGTGACGAATACATAAGAGAACCACAGCTTTGCCCACAATGCATTATACTGCTTGAGTCTTGGAAGATGCTTGACCCAGAGTCCCGTGGCTAAAGGGATGACATTTTTGTGATTTTTTTTGGTACTTGCTTGGTAGCATGAAGGAAGGCTCTTTTCAAGTGCTGCATCTACTCACAGCTTCCTGATTCTGAACTAGCTTTGAATCCAGCCTACCCAGTGCTCCAAGACAGACTCATCAAAAAGTATTTGCATAAGGAGCAGCAGCATGAAACCCCATGTACCTGGTCAGTGCTGAAGTCAGGGAAAGATGCTACAGCTCTTTTAGTAATCCCAGAAAATAAGCAAACTGATGTCTTCATGTTTCTTCTGCATCAAAATCAGTGTGAGCAGCAGACAAGGGAAGGGATTTTGACTTTTTAGTCCTGTAAAATTCCCCAAGTTCTAAATTCTGAATTTAATTTAAATCCTTCATATGGTCACTAGGACAGACTCTCCTTGCATCTTCAAAATGACAAAAGGGCTAACGATGCAGTAAACAACCTTGATTCTCTCCCTCTGTACAACCTTTTAACGACTGTCATTGCTTCAGCTTCAGGAGGTTGTGTGATCCAATTAGGGCAAATTGAATAAGACTGCTTTTATGCTAAAGCGTGAGAAAGTTAATTGAAATCAATCCATGTTTAGTGAAAATGCTGGAGACATCACTGATAATTTAAAGCAATTAAAAGATGTTGTCCTGGAGCAAGCCAGAAACACATTAAATCTAAGAGTCTGTTAAAGAAAACTACCTAAAATATTTAAATTATATTATTCAGCTAAGATGGACTAGAGATAGCTGAAACAATTAGAAATTGGGAGGCATAAAATCAGCAATGTAATCTTCTTGAGCTATTTTAAGTCATTTGTTTTTTCAAAAATCATAGATCTTTTTAAAAATCCCATTTGTGACATTAGTGAACAAAGGTGTACTAATGGATTTGCAAATTTTTGGACTTGCAAATCTCCAGTTCTCATTGATGGGCCATTGTGCTTTGAGAAAATTTAAATTGAAACACATTTTTCAGGTAAGTAGTAAATTTCTTGTTCACAGGATGCAAAACATTGCATTTGATAGACGTGAAGGTTAAAATCCAGTCTCTTGGCTTTATCAAATTCCTAAATATGGCAGGGTAATTATGATGGTTTTCTGATCTCAAGTCCCTATATTCATCATGAAATCTTTCTAGAATTTCCATTAAGGTTGGAAAAGACCTCCAAGATCCTCAATTCCAAACTGCTGAGGGGATGAGAATTCAGAGCTGCACAGTTCTGTGCCATTCTCATTTAGAAGTTTTGTCTTAGCACGAGTAATAAGACAGAAGGTAAAGAATAGCATCAAAAAAACATTTGAAATATTATCTGTAACATTCCTGTTGTTGTTGTCTACATTCAGGCTCTGGACCAGACATGATGGACCCGCCTCTGTTAACTCTCACCTCTAGCAGGACTTGTGCAGCTCATTAAGAAGGTTTTAATGCAATGACACATGCTGGTAATACTGTACAGACATGGAAATGTATGAAAGATTAATTCTATAAAATATCCCATAGGCATAGACTGAAGACGGCTAAAATTAATCTGCCAAATACTAGTAATTATCTTTTATAGTCTGTCAAAACTTGTACTTGCAAGTTTGTATAAATCTTTGTCGTGGCACTTTCTTCCTCAGCCACAGTTGAGCATATGGAGGTTTAAAAGGACTGAGCCTGAGTCAACTGCACAACGGATGTGTCTTGCCAAAGCTTCTTAAAACAAGCATTTAAGATCATTTTACTTGTTATATGTATGTTCCGCTCCCAAAGCCTGGATTATCCAGTCCAGCCCTGGTTCCTGGGGGGGGTTTGTAGCCCGTCCAATGGTCCTGATCATCAGGTGCAGACACCCTCCCTTGAGGGCACACCAGGCTTTCATCCAAACATGGATTAGGTGTGACCAACACCTGGCAGAGGTGGTGCTGGAAAGCCTTCCTCTCCCTCAGCACACCCATAGGAGATTGAGGAAGATGGGGAGTTTTGATCCCTCAGAACAGGAAGGGAACATAACACCTGAAAGACTTTGCACTCTTGCTGAGAAACACAGCCTTGGGGTATGTATCAGATACTTTTTGTTAACTGTGTTATTAATTGTGTTTGCATTTGAGAGATGTTCCTTGTCTTCATGTGCACTAGTGCCCTCCTACAATAAGAGAGGCTTTCACTCTGCCCTGTTGGGGTGAATGCTACTGATAATGTTGATAGTAGAGCGTCTTTTTTCCTTCATAGTCCTTCACCTTGTAGTCTTGGGCAAGGTAAGAATCTTAGGCTGAAACACTTTTTTGCTTTCTCCCCCCTTTTGAAACTTTTATTTTAAGAGAAAGCATTCTCTCATTCTTGTGAGTGTAGAAAAAAAATGCATTAGACACCTCAAGACTTTAAAACCAGAGCACAATTTATTACTTTTGAACCAATTTAATAATTTTTTTTTTTGCTTGAATAGTAAATGCTTTGACTGTGCAATTCTGAAAGATACCCTTCATTCCTCTGTTTATCTGTGTTCAGCTGGAGGTGGAAGGAATAATCTAATTCTTAGTCAAAAATTGGAAGCAAGTTATTTTCTTTAATATCATCTGTTGTTCTTCCATGATCTGTGAGCTGCATTATGGCAGAAAATTGTGCCAACCTTTTGGTCACTCTTTATTGATATTAAATGCTGAACTTTCTGTGTTTGTTTCTCAGAAAAAAACTCCTTGTTCTCCTTCATACTACGAATATTTTGTTATCTCAGAGGATATGTCTGTTATTGGTCTGTACTACTGTGGTGCCTACTAGTTCTAACTGTGGTTGACATTTTATGCACACAAAGTGATGATAACAGACAAAAAAAATATTTTCTCAACAGGGCAGTGAGAAGGTAGAAGAAAATAAATATTTTATCCCAAGAAATGCATTGATTTGTTTGGATCATTCAGCAATTATGAATAATGTCAGGAAAGGAGACTGGAAAGCATCTGGTATTTGGTGCCTAAATCATAAAATCTTTCTTCCTCTCAAAATATTTCTGGTAAAAAAAAGACCAGAAAGCTGAAGAACCAACTCTGCCCACAAAAAATCCTCAGGACTTCTCTCCACATACAATGTATAGAACTATAAAATTCCTGTATTTTTAAATGTACACCTTCTAGTAGCTCCAGAAACAAATAAACAAAAAAAATTTCTCTTTCTAGACCTAAACTGAACATAGAAACTTAAGCTAAACTAGCATGCTACAAGAGATTTAGCTCAACTCTCTGGGTGGAGTGTCCTTTGTAAAATTTGAACAGTAGTCAGTGAAGTCTCAGTTTAGCTGAACTGGTTTTCCCTCAGTGCTTCCTTTTAGCTATATATATCACCTCTAACAAGTTTAGTTTTCATCCACTTTTGTATTACACCACAAACTCTCTCTGAAAATGCCAGGCCTTATTTCCTCTGCAAGATGTTTAATCAAAAATGACCCACAATTTCAAGCATGAATGCCCAACATCTCATTATTAAGTGCTGCCTGGGACATTTTAGAGTGCTCTAACCTCAGCTGGGATGTGGTGACAGGATTCAGGAGGCCACTGATATTTTACAGTTTAGGTAATCATTTATCTATCCTTAGTGTTTGGTATGAAAAAGCACGTGGAAAACCAGCCTGGTAGAGTTTTGTATCAGCAGGGAAATTCTTGATCTGTATGACCTTGGTCTAATTTGAAACCTCAAGAAATCAAGTAAGAGCCAGCCCAAAGAAAGGGCTCTTGAGTTAATTCGCTTTCCCTGCTTCTTGACTTCTCAAGGGTTTCACTACAAGGACACTTTCCAGTTAGTTCATGAATTTTTTAGACACCTTTCATCACTGACCTTCTGCTTCAATTTGAAGAGAACAACAAGGTCTGGGCAAAATGACATTGTTACTATTGCCTTTTAATTTGTCTCATTTCGACCCAACACAAATATCCAGTCTTTTTAATCATGTTTCTCTAGCAAGTCTCACTAGTCTGGGAAGAACATTTCTCCCTATTTTAATCTTTTAAACTGTGGTATTACTTTGTGAAATGCAGCGTGAAAAATGGGTTGGGAAAACTGATGACTACAGCTGAAAGTTGGTTTCTTTCCTCCTAGTTCAATTGTCTCAAAGTCATTCAGGGGTTGTTTGTTTTCCTTTTTGAAAGAATAAGCTTTTGAGATCCATTCATTTTTGGGAAGAATGCAGATTATTACTGGGTGCTATCCAGCTACCAATGATACACAGGCTAAGACAATGGATTTTTCATGGTGTGTCTGTGTCTTGGGCTCAAAACCAGAAGGTCTTGCAGATCTTATGGGACAACCTGTTGATGTAAATGTCTGTGAGCGTAAAACCTTAGGATTGTTAAAGCATTTCTCTAGTTCAGAAGCAATGGTGGCCTTCCTGAGGGTTTTTCCAGGCATAGATGTGGCTGCCCCATCCCTGGAAGTGTCCAAGGCCAGGTTGGACGGGGCTTGGAGCAACCTGGGCTAGTGGAAGGTGTCCCTGCCCATGGCAGGGGGTAGAATGGGAGGGGCTTTAAGATCCCTTCCAACCCAAACCATTCTATGATAATTATTTCAATATATAAAAAGATGAAATGTAGACAGAATCACTGACATACTAAAATACTATGCCATGTAATCCTGAACCTACTGTAATCCCGTTCATTTCCTGTGTTCTTCACTCATCAGCTTCTATGTTCTTGTCCATAAAACTGATCAAAGTGTTTAGGATGTGGCTTTGTTTTAGCTGTTAAGCTGTGGAACTCCTAATGTAGCTCTGACATGTAGAATAATTCCTCTATCGTCATGTCACTCCTGTAAGCAATTCTCAGTGCTAATAAGCAATAAATTCTCTTGAGAAAAGTTGTCAATATTTGATCCCCTGACAGTCAATGGGACAGCATTAACACCAGTCAGAAGGAGCTTAAATTGCTTTGAACAGGCAATAGACATTAAATATGGTTACAATAGTAAAACTTGATTGTAAATATATCAAAACTAACTTTGAGAACTTGGTTCCTTTTGATTCTTCCTCTTTCCATGGCAGCAGGTTAGTACTAGATGGTCTTTAAGGACTCTTCCAACCCAAACCCTTTCACGACTCTGTGAAGTGTACCCTGTTTAGGTGCTTTGTTCGTGATAAAACCAGAGATAATCCTTCAATTTAATGGTGGCAAGAGTTGAACTGACCAGGGACAGCACCCAGGAGCTGGCTGGAGCTGTGTCAGGGAAGGGTCAGGTTGGATCTCAGCAAAAGGTTCTTCCCCCAGAGGCTGATTGGGCACTGCCCAGGCTCCCCAGGGCAGTGGGCACAGCCCCAAGGCTGCCAGAGCTCCAGGAGGGTTTGGATGATCCTCTGGGGCACAGGGGGTGACTCTTGGGGATGGGCCTGTGCAGGGCCAGGGGTTGGATTCGATGATCCTTGTGGGTCCTTTCCAGCTCAGCCCATTCTGTGATTCTGTGACAAAGTGGTGGAAAAGTGTGATGGGTTTGCTTGTCCTTTTCTGCTGGATGAGGGAAGGAGGGATATTGCACAGATAAAATATAAAGCAAGAAATGTGTGGTCTTTCCTGTGAGCTGCAAATTTTTTACCACATTATTTAGTACTGGGGCTTTGTAATACTGCTGCTAGTTAACTGAGGCTTCAGTTTACATCATCCTACTACAACAGTAATCATGTTCATTTAAAGGTCATATTAAATTATTTGAGTCTTAACTCCATAATGGTTGATTCTAATAACACTATTTCAAGACAGTGATATTGCTTAAAATTTGTAATGCTCTTATATTCTGGCAAGGAAGTGTTTGTGCCTCTGTATTGAACAGTTTGCTTTTATGAAGATTATTATTATTATCTTTCTACAGATCCCCTCTTTTTCTGCATTTGCAGAAAAAGTGCAGTTGGCTGTTGTAAACTCTGAGTCATCATTTGCAGGTTGTAAAGTGGGACAGTTTGGTAATATACATGTAGAAGCCTGTAATGAATAAATTAAATTAAAAAAGGAAAGGAAAAAAGCAAAATGAAACTTGATCTGGCTGTTGGCTCTGATGCACTTGCAATGTTTTGCATCTAATGTATCCATATAACTTTGACATGCAAACTAAAACTGCTTGGCTGAAATTCTGCTGAATCTCAGCTAAAGTTCATTAGATATTTTCATCAATTCTGAGTTTTCAGATCTACTCAACTGTGTTAATTGAATTAAACAACAACAACAAAATATCCCACTGGTGACATAAGAATCTCCTTTTTGGTTATCTTTTTGTTACTTCTACAATATTTTAAGTGCATTTTGAGCATTTTGCAATGCTTGCTGCATTTTAAATGATACAGAATTTCTCTTTCACTCCTTGTCAAGCAAGCAGATATCACCTCATTATTTTATCCCTATTTAGTATGTTTTCTGAATCTTCTATATTTTAGCAGTATGACATACTATTAAAATAATAGTGAAATAAAAGTTGTTGGACACAACCCTTGGGATTGAAACCAACTCCTCAGCCATCAACACAAATCCTGAGAGAACAACCCTCCTACCTGATGATCCAACTCTGGCCTGTCCTGTGGGGATGCCTCAGGGAATTCTGAGGTCAGCTTTCTCTTAGGAGTATAGAAAATTTCATGTCTATATTCAGGTTGAGTAAAATATTAAACAGAATGCCCTTACCCATTGTAATCTCATTTCCTGAACTTTGGGAAGCCAAATCTTTAATTCTGTTACACCATATACTGAATATATTGAAAAGCAAGCAATTTTTCCCTTTGTAAATAGACTAACTTGAGATTTGCTTTGAGTTTCAATCACTTTTTAGTTAGAGAAAAAATGTACCTTATAATTCTGTTCAGATTGGACAAGGGTTTGAGTTTTGAGTCTGGATTTGATGCTAAATTTGCACTTTTCTGAATGATGGGAGCCTAGGAATTGAGGGTGATGGGGTTTTCAATACACAGGCAGAGCACCAGGGAACCATTAACATTCATTTTTCATACATTTGTTTTGGAATTTAGAACAGGTTAACAGTATTTTTCTTCAAAGTGTATGATGTGGAAGAGGAAATAAAATCTATGTGTATTTTTTTTTAAAGTGGAATCATGAAAGATGAAGGTTTCTAAGCCACTTAACATTCATGGTGCATTACTTTTGAAAATAGAAGATAAGAATAAGAATAATGAAGAAGAAAATAATATAAATAGTAATATAATAAGAAGTAAAAGTATGTTTGCTGACTACCTGATAGTGTTGCAATGATATTTTGTTTTGCTTTAAATATTACTTCTGTTTTGTATTATACTGTTTGCCCACCTTGTGAATATTCATGCATTTTCTCTGTTTCAATGTTTCACCACCTAATTTTTGCCTATTGGGTTTAAACAAGATTAAACCATTCTCTGTGTAAGTCCCTTGGGGAAAAGCTACATGAAAGTGGTAATGGCAATTACGGTAAATGCTAAACCCAGCATCCTCAAGTACTTGCTGCAAAAATGATATATAAAGTATTTAATGATAAAGTTAATTACATGGACTGTGTTGTTTACCTGGAGCTCTTTCCATGAAAGCAGAGCCATGAAGAACTGAAAAAAAATAGAAACCAAAGTCTCTACACTTAAAAGGTCACTTC